ACAACTAAAATGACTCAGTGGGTCAGAGCTTTGCTAGGTGCACAGCATTATGGGTTCTATTCCCAATGCTGTACAAAAAAGAAAAGAAAAGAAAGAACGAAAGATTCTTTCTCACCCCCCTGCCACACACAGCACAAATGCTGTTTTTCTCCAACCCTGTCTCATGTGGGAAAACATGGCCGACAGTGCTGCTGTGGGAAGGCACAGCTTGGTCCAGGAGCCATCAGAGAAGGATTCACCAGGAAGTGGCCTCTAGGAAGAGCCTGGGGATTAGAAATCCTGCACATGCAGACAAGTAGGAAAAGGGGTCTAGACAAAAGAAACAGCCAGTACAAAAGTCCAAAGAGAAGATGAAGGGGCTGAACCTGGGCAGCCAGAACCTCGAGAGTGTGGCACAGATATGGCATGTAGCCCAGGGGGAGCTGAGGGAGCTTGCAGCTGAGTCTAAGGTTGAGCCTGATGGAGAGGCCCAGGTCAGAGCTCATTTGAGTATGCAAATACCAGGGGCCCAGAACCACTGGCAAGGTCGAACCAGAGGCTCTACTTTCAGAGTCCTGAATGCCAGAGGCATATGGAAATCAAGGCCTGGCACTTCCATCTTGGTGGGCCCCCAGGCCTCCTGGAAACAATGGTGTGGCCTGTTACTAAAGTATAACCACCAGCCAGCAGGAGCCTTGCTGGACAAGGGTCAAAAGCTGCAGCAAGAGCTACTTTGGGGGCTGAGGATATAGCTGGGTCAGTAGAGAGCTTGCCCAGCACACATGAAGTCCGGCCCCACATAAACTAGATACGGTGGTGCACATCTGTAATCTGAACATTGAGAGGTAGAAGCCGGAGGACCAGATATCCAAAGTTAAGTTATCCTTGGTCATTTAGTGACTTCTAGGTCAGCCTGCTGCATGAGACTGTCTCAAAAAATAGAGCTACTCTCTCCCTGTTTCACAGATGAGGGAAACAAACAAGGCCAGGGATATTCTGGTCTTGGTATACACAAAAGCAGAGGCTGATTCTGAGTCCAGGGTGAACAGGATGCTACCTGGGGACCTGGTTTTGTGACCTCAGTCCTCCTCTGCTTCTCTCTCTCCCTGTCTAATGGGGGAAATTGCATCACAAATGTAGCTTTCAAGTTTGGAATCTGGTTTTAACCCCAGATTTTATATAATAGATTTTTAAATGTCTTAAGAGAGCTATTTCTGGACTGGAGAGATAGCTCATCAGTTAAGAACACTGGCTGTATTTCCAGAGAACCCGGGCTCAATTTCCAGCACCCACATGGCAGCTTACAACTGTCTGTAACTCCAACTCCAGGGGATCTGACACCCTCATACACACATGCATGCAGGCAAAACACTAATATACTTAAAATAAGAATAAATATATTTTAGAGAAAGAGAGCTATTCCTATTGAAGTTGTCGGAGAGTTGCCTTATTTGTGACCTTCCTCTTGTCTGACCACTCCTAGAAAACCTGAAAACAAGTCCTGGGCTAGAGGCTGGGGATGTAGCTCAGGGTAGAACACTTGCCCAGTGTGCAGGTCCTGGGTTTAATTTCCAGCAGAATACACACATATACACAAAAGAATCTGTTAACCAGTTCTTCTGGGACTCCCTGATGCTCTGGGAAGCAGATTCAAGTTCTCCTACCTGACTTCATGGGGATCTGCCTGGTGGTTTTAAAATCTCATTGGCTAATCGCCATCAATTCACCTATCCTTACACAGTTGACAAACATTTGAGAAGCAACATTATACAAGTGTAGGATTTGAGTGACTTACAGTGAGTTTGTGTTGGTCCCAGCTCTGCCAGCAAGGCTCTGAGCAAGACACTGGGCCACTCTGTGGCATTACTAGCCACCTCTGTAAGTGCCTACTGTATGAAAGACTATACTTACCTGTGGTACAAGCTTCAAGGTTAATCTCCCTATGAGTCCTGGGAGATAGGCTTGAGGTCACAGAGCTTGGAGATCATGATGAGCTGGTCCAATCCTGGAGCATTCAGCCATGATACTCCATTATGTTCCAAGTACAGTTAGTATTCCTGCCCCATTGAGCTCACATAAGAACCAGTGGCGTGTAAGTGTCAGCCAATGGGAAAGCACTAGGCACAGAGGGTGAGTGGACTCAGCAAAGCCATAGCTCACGGCCCTGGTTCTGGAACTTTCATGTTATGCAGCTATGAATTGGTTATTTACTTCTCTGGGCTTTCATTTTCCCTCCTACCTCCCCAAGCCTATAGGGGGAAAAAACAAAAAACAAACAAAAACCTGTTTATAAGTTTATAATAAATAAGCTGCAGTATCATCCTAATAGCCTTTGCTGTTCTTTTAAGCATACCCTATAAATTTTCCACACTCTTTAGGTCAAAACTGGTCTCACTCCACTACCTCTATTTCAGACAAAAATGAATATTGAGATTGCATTCAGAAAGTTGGGTCTGTGTCCAGTGCCTTTGGCGCCCCCTGCTGTTCATTATTTGCAAGTGCACTACCTGGTCCCTTCAGGCTTTGTAGTTTACTGGCCAGCCCTGCTTTGATCTGTCTGATCAGACTCTGCCACTCTGGGTTCCCTAGATAATCTCATCTGATAGTTCAGTCTGGGCTCTCTAGAGTCAGCCGGGATTGAAGCTGATACTCAGGACAAGTATCTCTGGAAAGTGGATCGTGATGATTCTACCTTCACAAAGCTCCGATATAGTTTTGTAAACTACGTGCTGCTTTCTAGACGGCCAAGATTCATCTTCCACCGCTTTTGTTCTAACCTGTGTAAGCAAGAAAATCTCTAAGTCACGGCCATTTACATTTCTACCAGAAGCTTCTAGAATAAGCATTCTTCACACTGGCCTCATTCCATGGGCTGGCCAGCTCATCCCAGTTGAGATGTAGCGCTTCAGGTCGGTCCACCCCAACATCTACTCCACTTAGGAGCTGCCAGAGCATGTGGAAAGGCTGGTGTTGCAGGACCAGATCCAGATCAGAGATGGAAACCTAAAGCATGGCTCTGACTGAAGATGGCAGCAGCCTCCAGCATCTGATGCAGGACCATGGAGCAGCTCCAAGGAGCCTGAGAAACCCATGGAGGCTCACGGGGAGATGCATCAGTGCAGGAGGAGTCTGAAGAGCCCATGCTCTCTGTGGAACAACTTTTAAAGGGCAGATCCTATGGGAAGATGCTTTTAAAGGGTGGACTCATGAAATTGGAAGCTGGCAGAGCAGAACCACGCATGGAGAATGACGAAACTAAGATGTAGAGATGAAGGGTATGGGAGCAATGGGAGAGAGTGCCACAGCGTCTGCCACCGCTGCTTACCCTTGTGGGCAAGGAGAGTGCGTTGGCGCTGAAGCACTGCCTGCGGGCTGCAAGCACAATTGTGCCCAGGGAGCCTCCGGCCTGCCAGCATCGGTAGCAGGGAGGTGTGCGGTGGACTGGAGTTCTCTCGGATCCTGCCCCTGGATACCCTGCCTAACCACAAGATCACCCTGACTCTGAGCAACAGCCAGATATCCAAAACAAGTCTCAGTGATGGTCCAATATTTATGGTGCTTCAGAAACCAGATGCCTTGAACCAAACAATGACCCATTGCACGCTGTGTGACACACTGCAGGCCACTTCAACAAATATGAGATGGATAGGTGGGAAAGAAGGAGCAAAGCAGCATGTGCGCGATGGAGAGAGGCAGAAATACAGACGTGACATCGGCGACACGTGTGGGAGAAGGCCGCAGCGGACATGGGACAGAGGAGCATGTCGTTGCTGAGGAGGACTGACAGGGTGGAGCATAGCAGCCTGGAGCTTCTGCAGGCTCTTTCCGGAACACACTGCCCGAGGGCACAATCATCCTGGCTCTGAGCAACAAAAAGATGTCCAAGATTAAGAACAGCTCAGTCCCCCCCTTGGGGCTCCTGGAAAGACCCCCCTCATCCATGCTGCCCCTGGAGGCCTTGCCAGTATCTGTGGTCCATGCTGCCCCTGGAGGATACGCTGGTATCCATGGTCTGTGCTGCCACTCTATCCTTGTTGATGCCCAGGGTCCTTGTGGATGTCTGTGGTTGTGCCACTACTGGAGGCCATGGGCATCTGTGGTCCTGCTACCACCAAAGGCCATGTGGATGTCTGTGGTCTGTACTGCCACTGAGGACCATGAGGGCGTCCATGGTCCATGCTCCAGCTGAGATCTGTGTTGATATCTGTGATCTGTGTTACCATAGAAGGACAAGTGGATACCCTTGGTCTTGGTTGCCACTTGAAACCATGTTGATGTCTGTGGGCTATGCTGCAGTTGAGGGCTGTGATGATGTCCATGAACTGTGCTGCTACTGAGGGATATATTGAGATCTATGGTCTGTGTTACCAACAAAGACCATGTAGATGACTGTGGTCTATGCTGTCACCTGAAGTCATGTTGATGTCCATGGTCTGTACTGCCACTGGATACCATGCTAAGGTCATAGCCATATAGATGTCTGTGGTCCATGCTATTGCCAGAAACCATGTGGAAGTACATGATCCATGATCTGTGTTGTCACTGCCTGTAAAAAAGCGAGGAAGCTACTTTTGCAGTGGCATTGATGACTGCAGACCCATAGTTGAGAAAGAGGGACACAGAAGACTTCTGTGACAGCCTTCCCCCCATCCACACCCTACCATCCCTGCAAAAAGAAACAGTCTAGATAGGAAGCCACTGACAGGAACTCTTAAAAACTGTGATAGGGATGCTAAAGTGTAGCTCTTCACCGTTGATGCCTTCTGGCAGGGGTGAAGGTGAGGAAGGGCTCAGTTTTCTTTAAGGGGCTGGCCTGGGAGTTTGATCACGCTACAGTGAGTGTATAGGCAACACAAAATGATGTTGTGGGTTTTTTCCCCTTTTATTTTTTTCTTTCTTTTTTTCTGGAAGGAGGTCACAGGGTGGGGGTGGACCTGAGAGAAATGGGGAGTGAGTGTAATCGGGTGCATTATGTGACATTCCCAAATAATTGATAAAAATAATATTGTTATAAAAAAGAATCATTTTGAATTCTTTATTAGAATTTAGTATGATGACACTGTCTCTTTTGGGTGCAGATTTCAGAGGGTATGGCCTTCATCGAGCAGAGGAACTACATCCACCGAGACCTCCGGGCTGCCAACATCTTGGTCTCTGCATCCCTGGTGTGTAAGATTGCTGACTTCGGCCTGGCACGGATCATTGAGGACAATGAGTACACAGCTCGCGAAGGTAGGGAACGCTGCCCCCTGCAAGGGCTGTGAGACCTGAGTGGACACCTGTAAGAGAGACCGGGAACAGCAAAGGTTTGTCCTAGACTAACTCTTGCATCAAGTTTGGCAGGGTCCTTGTGCACAGTGCATTAGTTGACAAAATACCCAACAAGGGCTACTTAAGGAAGGCTTTAATTTGGCTTATAGAGAGGACAGTCCATCATGGTGGGTCAGTAAGAGTATACAACTGGTCACATTGTGTCCACAGTCAGGAAATGGACAGACAGATGCTGGTGTTCACCTTGGTTTTTCTTTTTTATGTGGTCCACAGTCAGTGCATTCACCACATTCAGAATGGGTCACCTCAACTAACCCTATGTAGAAAGTCCCTCACAGACATGCCCAGGGCTCCTTCTCCTGAGTGATTTTAGATCCTGTCAGGATGACAATGTTAATGTCACACCCACAAGACTTGAAGAGGAGCATTTCAGATCAGATTGAAGTGACAGCTTCAGCAAGTACAGGTAGCAGTGAGAGGTGAGAGTAACTTTATGCACAGGAGACACAAACCGAGCAATCTAAATGTCCACAGACAGGGTATGTGTATAAACTGTGTCACTCACAGAGTGTAGCATCATACAGCAGGGAAACCCCACACTAGGGGCTGGAGATGGCACTCAATGGTAGAGGCTAGACTAACACAGAAGGCTATGGTGTAATCCCATTACACCACACATCAATGCCACCTGCCACTATAAAGGGAGACGTGACATCCAAATGAAAGAAGCATCTAAACAGAGCAGATGCCCGGAGGTCCACAGACATGGAATCCAAAAGCAGGCAAAAGTCATTTGTGAAGCCCCAGACTGAAACACCCTAACTGATGCATGCCCATTAGCTGATGAACACATGAAGAAAACATGGAGTATCCATAGCACAGAATCATGTTTGTGATAAAATGGAATGGAGTGTTGAAAGGTGCTGCAGCATACACAGGCCTTGGAAACATGCTAAGAAGCAGTCAGGCACAAATACAGATATCTTTTACCCTTGGTCTGAAATTCCCATGTGAGACAAAGACAGCTGTGGAGGCAGAGAGCGGAGCAGTGGTCGCCTAGGGCTGCGTGGGGAACTCAGGGGAAAGGGGTTCTGAGTGCTAGGGATGGGCCTAGGTGACATGTGATGAAATAGTCTAAAATTCACTCTTTCCCTCTTATAAAAGTCACTGGAGAACATACTTTAAATGTGTGGATTTTATGGCATGTGAATCATATCTCATTAAAGTCACTTATACCAACAAAGCTGTGAGCAGGGGCTAGCTAGAGTGGGGAAGCACTGCCCAGGAGGAGCTGGATAGAGCCTTCTGAAAGGCTGCAAATGTGCTTGACCTTAGTCTGATTATCACAGGGGCTACTCAGCTTTGACCATCAAGTTAGACCTTAAATATCCAAGATGTGAGCTTGGAATCCCAGCTACTCTGGAGACTGAGATCACAAGTTCAAGGCCTGCGAGGACAAGTTAATGTCCTGTCTCAAAATAAAAAGTAAAGGGGCTGTAGCTGTGGCAGAGCACATGACTAGCATGTACATTGTGCTAGACTCAATCTCCAGTAACACACACACACACACACACACACACACACACCATTTGATTTCTGTCATGATTGAAAAAGTTTAAATTAAGTACAAAAATATAAAATGAAAAGTTGGGTATATAATCTAAGTCTGTAGAAAATAAGTGGGATATGAAGAAAACTCCCTAGATATAAAAGATGGCAGCTGAAGCTGTTGCTTGGTAATAGAGTAGCTACCAATCATGTTCTAGGTTTGGGTTCAAGCCTTAGTACCACATAACACAAAAGTATGCAGTAAAGAAAATGGCTGACTTAGAGTTAGGGATGTAGATCCCACCACTCAGGAAGCTGAGGATTACCATGAGTTGGAGCCAACCTGGAATGTGTAGTCCCTGTCTCAGGAAAAAAAAAAGGAGAGGCTGGAGAGATTACTCAGTGATGGAGAGCTCTTGGCTGCTTTTGTAGAGAACCTGGGTTACGTTCCTAGCACCTACATGATGACTTAAAACCGTCTATAACCCCAGTTCCATGAAGCACTTATCTAAATTGTTCTATTATTAATAACTCAGGAGTCAGATGTTGGGGTAAAAACCTGATAGACCAAGAAAGCAGAGAATGGCCAGCTAGCCCTGTCTCCACATTTCCCAGATTAAAAGAGCCTGAAAAATCTTTCTAAGTTATTCCTTCCTGTGTCTCTCTATCATATCCTGGGTCTTCCAAAATCTCTATGGCTAATTCCAGTCAGCTAGTCATTGACTCTACCCTCTGATTCAAGGTCAACTTTATTAATAGTCTCAGAGTATCACAGTGAAATAAAATATCCCACAACATTTCCCCCTTTTTGTCTAAACAAAAAGGAAAGGTTTTTATATGTATTTGTTTATTTTATGAGTGATTTGTTTTCATCCATAACAGAAGAGGGCACCAGATCTCATTACAGATGGTTGTGAGCCACCATGTGGTTGCTGGGAATGGAACTCAGGACCTCTGGAAGAATAGCCAGTCAGTGCTCTTAACCACTGAGCCATCTCTGCAGCCCCAAAGGAAAGGTTTTTACTCTAACACAGTAAAATTATATACAATAAGAAAATTTGCCAGGTATTATCTAAACAAAAAAGAAAAGTTTTAACTCTAACATAGCAAAACTATATACAATAAGAACAATTGTCAGGTAAGAATTACATTTACAATATCCAATCTATTTGTATTTAGCAAATTCAGAGAAATTACTCTGTTATCTATCTTATTTTGATGAGTCCTAAATTTTATACCTAAGCCACTTTCTGTCATAACTTCTATTACCATCCTAAAAATATACTTTTAGACCTTAAAGCATTTTCTTAGATAAACAACTTACGTCTCACAAACTTATAAACTTTACATCTCTTTTGTAAGTTTCTTTTCCGAATTTGGTAACAAAGAAAATGTTTTAACTAACTAGTCTTCAACCCCTCAGAGACCCAAGAAAGATATAATATTACCCAAGTAATCAGGAAGTACAAAGCAAACAGCTTTGAAAATCATAGAAATGCAGACATATCCGGCTGCCTGGACAATCACTCCAGGTTCTTCTGCAACACTGGGGCATACATCTTTGGCCTACAGGCCTAGAATATCTGACAGACTTTTCTGTGGAGCAGGAATTTTGAAGGACTGTTCTACCTTGTCTTGGCAAAGTTTGGCAGTTGTCTTCCTTTGTGTCCTGTCTGTCCAATTTGGACAGCATATTGTCAGCAGTTGATACAAGAGTAGTTTCTTGCCCAGTGGCTAACTTTACCACAAATGAAAGCAAACGTCATATGGAGGTTCTTCAATGCCTATCATCTTCTCTGAAGTGACTAAAGGAGAGATATCTCACTGTCATGAAAGTCCTTATGTTATTGAAACATCTTAAATGCCATATTCTGTAAATCCCAGAAGTATATGAAGACCATCTATCTATCTAAAATATAGCTCTGACCTTGAAAACATACATAACACAACTGCAAGTTTGATTGCTATAGCTGACTAACTACTAACCTACATTTCTTAATTATCCTAAATAGTTTATAATAATAGCTTTCAAGGACTAGAACTTTACATTTTAAAATGAACTGCGTAGGTAAAATACCTTAAACATGGGTATAAACATATACACAGTATGTTAAAATAAAAATACCCTTAAATTTGTATCAATATGAAAAGGTCTCTTAAATGAGAGTAGAAACATATGCAGTATGTTCTAACAAAAATAACTTTAAATTTTTATCAATATACAAAAATCCATACCAATGTAAAATATTTGAGATTAATAGTTGCTTTTTAGTTTAAAAGTAAGCTGGGCGGTGGTGGCGCACGCCTTTAATCCCAGCACTCGGGAGGCAGAGGCAGGTGGATCTCTGTGAGTTCGAGGCTGGGCTGGACTGACAGCCTCCAAAACAATACAGAGAAACCCTGCCTCATAAAAAAAAAGTAGATTCGATAACCTATGCTTTTAGCCCTTTATTCTTTTTTATTTATTTTATTACTTTATGTGTATGAGTGTTTTGTCTGCATGTATGTCTGTGTACATATGTATGCCTGGTACCTGAGGAGGCAAGAAGCCTCCATGCGGGTACTGGGAATTGAACCTGGGTCCTTTGCAAGAACAACAAGTGTTCTTACCACTGAGCCAACTCTTCAGCCCCTATCCCATCATTCTTATATCCCCCTTTTTATCTTTTCAAAACGAGATCCCTGAATCTGACCTTTTTGCTTAGTTTCCTCCCTGGCCATGACCAATAACAACTTGCAACTAACCCCCCTAAATGATGATAAATATCCATAACCCACCAAACAACCAAAAACCACCCCCACCTCTTGGAAATGTATCATGTTATTAAACTTATTTCCTGTTTTCTGGGAGCAAAGGCATCTCTAGGAGACCCTAAAAAAATGAGATAATGGCCAAGTCTTGGGAGAGCTGGCTGTTGTCCAGTCTTGGTGTGATGGGAAAGGGCAGCGCCTAATTGAATTCCTGGCTGGAGCAGTCTATAAGGCTGGATCATCTTAACTATCTGGCTTGAAGCTATCCTGAGCAGTTTGTAGTCCCAAACTGATCTTTGGGTTGTGATTGTCAGCTTAGCGGCATTATCACAATCCAGGTAGACTCATTGTTGCAGGGCCCCATCATCTTCTTGGAGACCTCAAAGGTCACTGCCAGGAATGGTCATGGTTCACTGCAGAAAATGTAAACATTTTAAATATCATATGTATTGGATCTCCAAGAGGTTAAAAGACCACAATCTGTTAAATACATCCAAGGCACACAAACTTAGTTCCTAGTTATCTGTTTCAGACTCAAGCCCATAATCACATACAGGAAGCTAGATGAAGCTTATTTCTGGAATTAGTTAATGCTCTATATGACTATTAATATCATGACAGAAAGTTTAAATATATATATGTATATATCCTTATAAAATCTGAGATAATATTTCTTAAGAAGAGTATTAAGAGAAAGTATTAGAGAATC